TATAGGTGTAGTAGTACCTCTTCGGGCTCTTGGATACCTTTTTCTTGCTACGTGTGCGTGTTCTTTAGATCCTCAGATGGCTCTAGCACTTTCGTGACCACGGGCTGAGAGTCTTTGCTAGATTTTGGCATTTAGCAACTGGCATACGGTTTAATGTGAAGTCAACAACAACAACAACAACTGCTGTGTAGTAAACGGGCCAATGGTAGCAACGCACGAGCCTACTTCAGGTACGTTTTTCAACAATAAACTATTCCACCTCCCGATCTAGTAGGGTGAACAGGGTGTGCGAGCGCACGCGGGTGCCTATTCCTCTTTAACAATCCGCAGCTGTTTCACAACGTCGAAAATGACTAAGGAATCAACGAAACAGCAGTGATGTTGGTACCATCTGGAGCCCCGAAAGCCTCCACACGTCACACCAAAAGGCTCCAAGGAGGGATCTTCGTCAGAATTTAGTGCAGTACGCACTGCTGCCATGCATTGATGCATATACATACATACATCCAGTCAATTTTGGCCAGCAGCTCGCATTCTTGCCTATAAAACTGGCGGGACTGTCAGGTCTTGATTTGTTTCGTGTTTCTTGTTTGATGTTACTGCTGTAGTGTCTCCAAACTGCGTTGTTCGAGAAAGATATGTGTTACAGCCCAGCTGCTTTGTGACCTGGCAAATAGGAGCCGTCCAGGCTGTCTGCCCTTCACTCACGGCACCACTAGAGGTGCACAGCTTCCGACTACACATGTCCACTCGGAACGAGAGGTGCATGCTAAACTACCGCCGGAATGCTGACTCCGATACCTTCTGTGTCGTCACCATGCTCAACCGATGCCGCAGATACAAGCAGATTCGCCAGTGCGCTGACTGATGATCCAGCCATACCCTGGTTATAGGTAGCACGTGGTCCTCGCCTAAAGCTCACGCGTGGTGAAGTCCACCAGACCACAGCAACTGCAACGCTGCAATGACAACACAAGAAAGGTACGTCGCCGGGGCACCGCGGGAAAGCAATTGGAGCAATGAGGCACCCTGCATTGGTTCTTGCTTAACGCGGAGCCTCTGGCCCGGCGGGCCACGCAGCACGTGCAGTGTGAAGTTGTCGGAAAGGTTGCAACCTACCGCTGAACCAGCCACCTGCCTCATCATTTCCTCTCCTGGTGTACTTGTGTGCTCTCGTGGTGTCATGTCAAACGTGCGGCAAAGAAAATTGAGAGTTGAGTCCTCCGACGACGAGGATGAGGCTTCGCCACGGGGGAAATCGGCGGGTGGGACGTTCTCCTCTGCCACTACCGCTCGGAACACTCAAACCAACGTCGCTGTCGCCGAGTCTCGGTTACGCAAAGTTATCGTGCGCAGCGTGGTGGGTTTCTTCATGGTGACGAGCTTCGTGGGGATCGTGTGGGCTGGGCACCTCTACCTTTGCGCTCTCGTGGTCCTGATACAGGTGGGTGCAAGCGGTTGCTACTTTCAGTTGTGGCGTGGGTGGACAGTCGACCCCGCTTTAAGGGCGCACATGTTTTTTCCCAAAAAATAACGGGGTTGCGTCCTTAAAATTCAGGGGACGATAGCTCCCCATCCCCGTGGCCAATGGAGGCATGCTATACCTCAAACTACACGTCTTCTGCTAAGGAACGATGTGGTAGGAAAAGTCAGCATCGCCGAGACGACTGGCAACGGTTTGTTGACGTCGAACACATTTAAAATACTTTAAAATGAGATGTACAGCAGTCGGGGACGTCTTGAAAACATGTAACTACAGCAGGATACAGAAGTTTGTACTTTCCCAGCCAATGTACAGCATAGCCGGCAGTGGAAGAAGGAGGAAAGGCCAAGTAGACACATATTTATCTCATTCTTGTAAAACAACAAAACAACGAGCGTATTTCAGCGTCGCACCGAGGAACACCAGTACATATAATAACTGTCCCGACGCAGATCTAAAGCTACCCTTAGGCGACTTTTCCCTCCACATATCGCAACGAGTTCCCTGAACCTCCCCCCGCGGCTTGGCTCTACGGCTCTGTTGAGTTTCATGAGTATACGAATGAACGGTCTTTGAAAGAAGGTACTGCGTCTCGCGGTACTCGCCGCCCCTTCCCTTCGCATACAAATAGGATCGAGCGTCCTTCAAGCGAGAGATAACCTCGCCCTCGGTGAGGGACGAGGTTATGCACGACGGCATCAGATGGACCGCCGGTAGATGGGAGCAATCTTATCCATACCAACACCCAGTTACAGCTGCAGCAGCAGACCGCTCGCTACTTCCGCTGTCTGTGCGTCGCTACTTCTGTACTCACTGTGGTGCGTGGTGCATGCAACTAGCGGCCCGCAGGAAAAAAAAAGGGAGTTCCAGGCAGAAAAATGGGGGTCCCCCATTATCGTACATTCTGCCGGGCCCCCTGGGTGCTCAGCATTTTTTCCTTAAAGCGGGGAGTTCCCTTAACGCGAGCGTCCTTAAAGCGGGGTCGACTGTACTTCAGGCCAGGCTTATGTTCTGGCAGCGGGCCGAATGGAATGCATTTCTGCCTCTTCCAAGGTAGGTTCTTGTGGATACCACTGGGGCAGGGGCAGAGGCAATGGGCAATGGTCTCGCAGGCGAAGTGTTCGGGGTTGTGGATCCGTCATGCGATCAGCTTCATGTGATAGTGGCGGCCAGAATAATAACCGCTGCTTGTGGCAAGTAACGGGGCCTGTTATTCCAGCACCAAGAACGTGACGCTGTCTTGTCTAGGAAAACATGCGAAAGCCTCAACACAGCCAGCAACGCTCAGTTTACTCTTAGGGAAGGAGTGTGTTCGTTGATGCGACACGTGTCGTCGTGGCTCAAGCTAGCGCTTTTAACGATGGTGTTGTGTGTCTCGCGATTGTTTGCAACGGGAGTACGGGACAAGCTAAGCGTTTCGTCTCTTCCGGGCCGATTTTAAGGACCTTCCACACAACCCCGCCGCGTGCCCCTCCGCTCGGCGAAAGTTCCATGTACGCTTTCTTCCGCTGCGATTCCATCTCAGTTGACTTCCAATATGCCGCCTACACGCTCGGCGCGAGTTCCATGCACGTCTTTGTTCCGCTGCGATTCCGTTTCAGTTGACGTCCAATATGCCGTCTACAGATAGTGGCATGGCACCCAACGGGATTGTTCTGTTGAGCTTGCGAGTTGGTCGAACCCGTTCCTTCCTTCGCATATGTCTGCATGGTCTTGCAGGATCCGCTCCCCGGCATAAATGGGCCTCACCGTCGCATTTGTTACCGTAGTCGTGCTGGCCGATGGTCTCACTCCGTCTATGTGCTTGAGTCAACAAATGCACTCGCACGTAACACAACGCCTAAACCTAGTGTTCGTCCTGGCCTCAGGGTGAATTGCATGTGCCCAAAAGCTTCAGGCTTTCCGAACCCTCCGGCCGCCTCTGTGTCCTCCCATCTGTCGTGTGCCCCGTTCCCTGCCCTCTCCCTCCCGTGCCGCTCGCCCTGCGCGCGTGTTTCGTGTGCGTTTCCCCTTCGTTGGCCTCTCGTTCTCCCCCCTCTGTGTTCATGCTCTCCTTCCCGTGTCGTTTTCGGCTTGCCCGCAATCGCACCGAAAACGAAAATCACCCCGTCCCCCTCGGTGTTTGCCATCGGGGTTGGGTTTTCGTCGCTTGGCAACGACGTTGTACAACAAGCCGTCCCCCTCGGTGTTTGCCATCGGGGTTGGGTTTTCGTCGCTTGGCAACGACGTTGTACAACAAGCCGTCCCCCTCGGTGTTTGCCATCGGGGTTGGGTTTTCGTCGCTTGGCAACGACGTTGTAAAACAAGCCGCCCCCCCCGGTGTTTGCCATCGGGATTGGGTTTTCGTCGCTTGGCAACGACGTTGTAAAACAAGCCAATTCACTTCGTGAACTCGGCAACCAGGTTACCGTTTTTTTTTTTACCTCTGTTTTTTTTTTTGGCGGTAACCATAATGGTGGTCGAGTAGACTTGTTGTGCGGGGCTGGAGAACCCTCACTCCGCGCAAGGGGGATGATCGCACCACGTTGTGTTAAAATGGTCAAGCACCCTCGAGGCAGTTACACAGTGCTTACAACTGTCTCTGGAAGTGAAAGCACCAGAAAAGACATTAATTCATACGCAGCTGTCATCC